AAGCATATTTTTTTCGCAAGGAAACGAAAACTTCAACAACTTTATTGGCAGGGGTTTTGCTAGACTCGGCGGCTTTGAAGAAGGCTGGGTTATTCATGCTGGCCTCGACGTTGGAGGTTTGAGGGTAGAGTGGGGTGTAGGTCCATGTTCACCATCTCTTGTGTTTCCTCGCAGCAGCACGCGCGCAATCCTGGCCAAGATTATAGTGGAGAAACAATCCCTATTTCAACGATTTGTTGAGGGGATTCGCCATCCCATCTCGACCTTGATCGAGTGGTATTATCGTCTCAGAGAATTCTTTCTCCATATTCTTGGTCATGCCAACCAAACCTCGCTTTATAAAATTGCTGAAGTGTGCACCAGTTACAACCGCAGTAAATTCTGGGGTCCGGTCGACTGCAACTGCCAGAAGTTTGTTATAGATGTTCTCAAGACCTTGAACCTCAAATTTGTTCCAGAGGGTGAAATGAAAGCTTTCATCGATCGCATCAACCAGGGTGACTACGATCTGAGCATTTCTGATCCCGACGGTCTGCAAACCGTCTTTAACAGCGTCCTTGAACTCGATGGATTCGCTGAGGATCATTGGAACCACTTGCCTCCATGGTCAAAGTACCTTTTATGCACTTACAACAGCATATGCTCTGAACGAGCTCAAAATCACGCAAGAGTTCATGGCAGGGATGCAGCTACCATTGAGAGTCCTTGGATACGTTCCGCTAGCAACAGGAGAGAGGCTGATCAGGTCTGGAGGAGCCGCGTGCAGGAAGTTATTCGCCTTATCAAGAACTAATTAAGCAAGGAGTACCTAGAATCAGGAAGAAATCAAAAAAGACACTTATTAACTGAATTCAACAAAGGATTAGTTTTCCGTTTTTGCGTATTTATGAATCTGTTTTCGTAGACGAACTTAACGCTAGGTTATCTATGCCGCCCACTGCTGATATGGACTCCAAACCAGTTCTGGAAGAAACACGTATTTAGAACCACACGGAAGTCTTATAAGAGAGGATAATTTCATGGCAGTGAAGATGAAATGTGAAAACTTGTATAATTTTAATTTATGTTTATGTTATTGAACTCTTAATCAGTAAAGATTCGCCAAAAATTGATTAGTTGCACTGTTAAGACTTTTGACGGTTGTTTGTGGCAAGAGCCGGAGAGTTCGCGGTTATTTTTTGGGAAGAAGTTTGATAATTGTTTAACTACTGGCGCGGGGAGCTCAGGTAGTGTGAACGTTGCTGGTTGATAGCTACAGGCGCTAAAAATAAAGAAATACACATCTCGAAAGCGAGAAACTGCAATGGCGGATCGAGGGGGAGGATGGAAGTGGTCCGCCCCTCCTTCCCCCTTACAAGAGGATATAGTACATGTACCTAACCAACTGTTCAGAAACAAAAAAGAAATTGAATTTAAAAATAAACTCACCTTACACGTTGGGTTTCAACTGGACCAAGGGGCTTGTTTAAATCAGGACGAAATCTGGACAAAATTATTTTATCACCTAACACAAGTGATGAATGTCTTAAACATAAACGAGTTCTTTACTAGCACATTAGAGACCTAGACCAGTCCTCACGAGGGCGACCGCGAGGATGAGATTTGACTTAATTTTTTTTTCGCTTATTTAAACAACAGCAAAAATAGACGCCGCGTGGAGATTCACTGTCGTCACTGTTTAAAACACTGTAGACACCCGCCTGCAATCGCGTGGAAGAGCGGAAATCATTAGCTTTAACAGTGTGTATTACTTGATTTCTGGATCCGTCCCCGGATAGATAATATGTTATTACTTCCTGATGGATGTGAACTTTAGAAAGGATGACCTGGAAGAGTGTAATACAATTGATGTCATGTGCTGAAAATGGTGATCATATTGTGTCAACTGCATTGTACAATTGGCGACAAAACTGGTTGAGACACTTTGCCGTCTTCAGACAAGGGAAAATAACTGCTTTCCCTCCCCTACCCCCTCCACGCAATGTCCACACAATGTTGTCCCACTGTATGTTCGACGTACCAATGTATGAAACACCAGATTCCTTTCTCTTCTTCTTAGAGTAGGCGACAAAACAAGGCAACGATTCTAGACGCGCATCACGCTTTTTTGGGCGCTATCCCTTCACAGCTACTACGACGTTACAGTGACGTGACTACCCTGCGAGCACAGGCTGTTCGATCTTCGAAGGCCTCTGCTGGCTGGGTATGATTCCTCGAGTATGATCGACATCATGACCAAATTTTCTTGAGAACAGAAAATCTCTGTTTGAACTCGGACGAGGTCACCTTTCTCTTAATCCTTATTCATGCTCTTTTTCTTTGTTCTTATCATAGCCGCACTTAAACGTTTTCAAATTATGATGGTAGAACAAAAAAATTAGTCACGTGATCTAAGAACTGAACTTTTGTTGGAGCAGATCGAATGTATAGATCGAATGTTTTGATAGCAATGTAAACTCTCAAGCGTATAACAGAGTATGGAATTGTAAAATGTAAACAT